TGGGAACACTTGCTATCATGTAGCCATGGCGTCCACAGGGGAGTTGGCCCTTCTGCAGAAAGTCAAGTGCTGGAAGAAACACAATGGAATTGGTTCTCCTTATTCATTTTCACTCATCCATCTCATTCTTTGGTATTTTCACTCCATAGCACTAAATAGGCACATGAATTTTGACATTTTCTTTCTTTTTAAAACATTTTATTGAGCATAACTGACATCACTTATTAGTTTCAGGTATACAGTGTAAAGATCCATTATTTGTATACTTTGCAAAATGCTCACCACAGTAAATCTAGTTATCATCATTGCACATAGTTACAAAATTTTTTTTTCTTATGATGAATTTCTAAGATCTACTCTCTTACAACTTTCTGATATGTGATATGGTATTATTGTAGTTACCATGCTGTTAAAGGTTTTTATTTCTAAACTATTAGATTCTAGAATTGGGGGAAAATTGAGGGTTGGGAAAGTGGGAGTAGGAGAATTGTATACTTCCTAGTAAGTTTTTAAAAGAATTTAAAAGAATTCAGTGGACTTGTCATTTAACCCTAATGGTTTAGACAGGAGTTTACAGATTTCCCCAGAGGGGCCAGATAATAATACATCTAACTGTTTCAGTTTTCATTCAAACTCTATGAGTAAATCCCCATGTCAATAGTTCAACTCTGCCTGGTAGGCAGAAAGCAGCTTTGGGCAGTGCTTCAAGGGCTGGGCGTGGCTGTGTTCACCAAAACCTTATTTACACAGTAGGCTGCTAGTGGCTCTAGGCCTCAGTATGCTGACTCCTGTCTTGGAGACATTCTTGGGGTGGGGTGGAATATCTTTGAACCTTCCAAAAAAATGCTGGTGACTAACTCCTGAGACCTCAGCGCTAAGTGAGGCGTCCTCCGATCTGTTCGCTCACTGAGGTGGCTTCCGAACTCCATCCAGGGCACTTCCGGCTTCATTCAGGGCACTTCCGGCTCTGGCCCTCAGCCCACTTGGTAAGGCCATTTCTTCTGAGAAGAAATAAAGGTGCAGCTCCCACATTGTTTGGAGAAGCTGTCTTGTTCCTGCAGTGATGACATAGGTCAAACAAGTCAATCTGATCTGATTGCTTGTGTATTTGCCTATATGATTAAAAACCTCTATGTGAAAATGAGGAAACAGAAAGATTATTTAACTAGGAAGTTCAAAGGGCTCATGTAGTTAACCAGTTGCCCATTTTCTTATGCTTTTCTAAAAAAAGTCTGTGTTCTCTTATAAAATTTTTGCTTAAAAGGCAACAATAATTTTAACCAGGAGATTGAATTGCTTAATTAAGCCAGTCTTTTTTAAAACGACTCTTCCAACTCACCAAGAAACATTTAATGCAGAAACACCTGGAATTTCACAGAGTTTAGCTGATTTAGGTTAATCTTTTTCAGTATGTCAAGTGACTATAATCAAATATAAGACAAAACATTCTGAAGCCTAAATTATGACTGTTAATCTGTCTGACAGACTGTCTCTGACCCACTTCCATCACCCCCAGTCTGTATAAATTCTAAAGTGGAGGAGAGTAGAGCCTTTGAAACATTTGACTACCCTGACTTTGAGTGCCTGCCTTTAGTTTTCATCAGGCTTTGGCATTTTCCCAGCCCTGACTCCCTTCGTCTTGGGCAGCAGTGTTTCTGTAATCCTGGAAGTCCTGGGTGAGGCACGTTGCAGGATGAAGGGTCACTGTTGGCCCTTTCTCCTTCATGGTCATCTTACCTGGGCAGCCCTCTGCCCATTGGGAGCCCAGGGCTCTCCTTATTGCGCCCTCTGGGCGGCTGCACACCGACTGACCTGCCAAGTGCCGCGTCAGGCGAGGGGCCTCTGAGACTGCACTCAGCTTCCTGGAACATCTCTCTTGCATAGTAGGGTCCTAGTCTAGGACATCTGCTGCTGCAGCAGCATCTGTGAGTCTGCCCAGGTGATGGCAGGGACTGCTGCTTCAGTGGACAGCAGAGTTGAGGGAGGAGCACGAATGGCTGCTTCCTATAAGGTAGAACAGCCAAGGAAGGAAGACATTCTTCACCTTTTTCTTATAAGTGCAGAAAAGGCCAGATCTGGAAATGATTTGTTACTCATCTTTCCATCTCTAATAATGATTAGTTAGTGTTAGTTGCTCAGTCGTGTCCGACTCTTTGCAACCACATGGACTGTAGCCCACCAGGCTTCTTTGTCCATGGGATTTTCCAGGCAAGAATACTGGAGTGGGAGTGCCATTCCCTTCTCCAAAGGATCTTCCTGACTCAGGGATCGAAGCCAGGTCTCCCACATTACAGGCAGATTCTTTACCGTCTGACCACCAGGGAAGCCTGTAATATGATAGTCAGCATTCCCTGAGCCACTTACACTATGTGTCAGTTGTGGTTCTGGGCACTTCTCTTATCTTTTCTGGTCTATATTCCTCATTTAAACTCTCTGAGAAAGACAGTCAGGGTTCTGTGGTTCTTAAGAGGCGGAGCCAAATCTGACTCTGGCCATTGGGTTCTGAGTTTGTTCTCTTAATGCTGCCCTGGCTTCCTGTTGCTAGCACGACAGCCTGTCCTATCATAGCTGTTCACTAAACTTTTTGACTGGCTAAAGGAAGGAGAATGTTAAATGATGATCTGTATACTTCCTTGAAGTCAGAATTAAGTTACATTGTTTTCAAAGTTACAGTACACCACCCTGACTCACATCTGCAGGTATAACAAAAGATTAAGTGAGGATCCCTTCTAAAAGGGTATTGTTAAGGGTTTAAACATATGACAAAGATGGCCTTTCAGAGAACTGAGTGGAAATAATTATTCCATAAGAGGGTGCTCAGAGAACTGGCTGGCCATTCAAAAAAAAAAAGTTTTCTTTGTATTTCCGTACTTCTTAGTTCAAAAAGAAATTCCAAATGGATGAAAGATTTAAATATAAATATGAAACCCATAGGTATGTTGAGAGGAGATCTGGGTAAATGTATATCTAGACTTAAAGTAGGAAATGTCTTTCAAAATAAAGCAAAATCTAGAAACAATGAACGAGTGATGAGATTAGATTATTTTGAAAGCACCAACAATAGCCAAAAATTACGGGTAAACTATTTCATAGAGAAAGGAGGAGTGGGCCTACTTGTTGGTAATTTAAGAAATGTCCCAGGTTATTTTGATGCCTTTTGAGGGTTAAGAGCAGCTGGAATAGAAGGAATAGACAGTGGAGTAGGAAGAGGAAGACTTTTAACTTTAATTTTATGCTTCACTGTGTGTGATTTTTCTCCCCAATTGTATTTGTAATCTTATATATATATATATATATATATTTTTTTTTTTTTTTAAAGAAAGACTGTTTTCGTGATCAAAAACATGATAAAGCAGTAGAGATGCATTTTCAGCAGATCCATAGAATTTTCTGGAACTTCAGTATTTCTGAGTATCACTTTCTGTTAGTACATACAGTGCTTGCTGATAGCAACTGGCAGTTAAATGTAAAACCTTTTTTCCTCTTTTGTCCCAAGAGACCAGAAGCTGGTGAAGAAGGCACCAGTCAATGGAAGCTGGACTCAGCCCTCAGTTCTATGTGTGGGAATTCTGGGGGTGCTTTGTTTTAGGTGATTTCCACTAGATTGCTCTTACGTCCCCTTCTCAGCTCCCACACCTTTACCTAGAGAGAGAGGATGTCTCCCAGGGACGCGACTCAGCTACAAGTACCATCGGGGGAGGGCTGGCTCTCAGCGCTCCTGTGTCCTCACCTGCAGGAACTTCACCTCGAAGCTGAGTCCCTGGTGGTGGCTGTTCCCCTCCTCCCCCGTTTCCTTCTCCCCTCTGCCCTCACCACCTCTTCCCCGTCCTCCATTGCTGGCCTCACTTGGCATAAAAGCATATCTGTTGTGAGGGAGACCGTTATTACGTGTAATGTGTGCATTGCCTTCCTTCTGATAAGGTCCTGTTGATCTGGCTCAGCGAAAGCCGTTTGGAACAGTCCACTAACCTTACCCTTCCTGGAGCAGGGCTGGGATCCAGCCAGACTGGGCTTGGGATTGAAGCCCAGGAGCAAAAACACGGCTCCTTCCTTGTCGGCTGTATTTCTGTTTCTTTCAAGAAGTTTGATGCTCCCTGCAGCCCTTGAAGTCTCCTCCTCACTTGGCTGTGCTGCACAGATACGGGCTCAGAAGGGAGAGAACAGTGTTCAAAGGAAGCCGGGCCAGTGCCTCTTTCTGAGGCACGTCCGGTCCTGGCTTCACATGCCTCCAGGAGGCTTTCCTGCTTGGCTCAGGGAATGTCAGTAATTGGGTGTCACTGACAATTCTATCAAAGGATAGAAAACCCTCTTATTAGGAATCAGATCAAAAAGACTTCCTTGGGGAATAATGAAAAAGGGAGTCTTTCTTTCATTTTTAAAAGACTTTTTGATGTGGACTGTTTTCAAAGTCTTTTGCTTCTCTTCCATGTTTGGGTTTTTTTTGGTGGTCAGGCCTGTGAGATCCTAGCTCCTTGACCAGGGATTGAACCCTCACCCTTTGCACTGGAAGGTGAAGTCCCAACCACTGGACAACCAGGCAAGTCCCTGGAGTCGTTCTAGTTGTTCTAATGTGATGTAGAAGCACTAATATTTGCCATTAACTGCTTAGAGATGTGATTTGTCAAATTGTCCCAGGAGGTAGATACTATAGTTATCCCCATATTTCAGATGGGAAAACTGAGGCGTAAGAGAAATTATGACCTGCCCACGGTGTTGAGCCTGTGTGCTGGGTTTCTGTGACAGTGCCCACTCCCCCAGGCCTGTCCCAGGGTCCTAGCCGCACTGCCCGGGGCACATATCACCTGCTCCAGGCGTGCCGTGTACAGTCCTCTCTGCCGCCAGTGCCGCATTTCAAGGAGGAAGCACCAGCCTCTGTTTCGGGGCAGGCTGCCTTCCTGGTGGTTGTGATGATGGATGTGGAAGGTCCGGGGCATGGCAGTGCTAGTACTGAGGCCTGTGTGTCTGTCTTTATTCCGCAGGTTCTCAGCCCGGCCCTTGAGATGATGGGATTGGGAAACGGACGTCGGAGCATGAAGTCACCACCGCTCGTGCTGGCTGCCCTGGTGGCCTGTATCATTGTCTTGGGCTTCAACTACTGGATCGCCAGCTCCCGGAGCGTGGATCTCCAGGTGTCCTCTTGGTCCTGTTTGTGTGGATGTCACAGAGTATTTAGAGCTGCTGGGTGCTGGATTCTGAGGAGTTCGCGGTTTGTCGGCACCTGAGGCTTTGTGCACAGTGATGCACGTTCTGCAGGGCCCACCGCCCAGCCTCAGGCCTGGCCCCACACCAGCCCTGCTCTTGGGTGGGAGAGGACCCCCTTGTGACTTCTTAGGCTTGCTGCCAGGACATGCCTGTCTGCCCTTTCAGTAAGCTGACACTTTTTAATCAGGCCTTTGGGGCTAGTTTTGGAAAAACAACTTAAGTACCCTGCCCACAGCCCATCTGGTCCTCCATTCCACATTCAGTACCCTAGTGGTGTGGGCAGTGCATATGGAGAGCGGGTGTGAGAAATGTATTTAGAGGTAGCAGTCTTGACCAGCATCATTTACTGATATTTAATAACTTTATCTTTCCTATTTATTGCCACCCGTCGTGGACCAGCAGTACTGAGCGACGGCCAGGACTCTCCTTGACCACAGTTCAGTCAGGCTTTGAGGAGCCACCTTCTTGGGAAGGCCTTAGTCCTGGCTCCCATCCTGTTTTTGGCCTGCCTAGCCCAGGCTCAGCAGAGAATCCTGCTAACTCACTTCTCCACCCCTGATGCCCAAGCAAGCTTCTCATGCATTACCATTGATGGGCCTGCCTTTAGCAAGACTCCCCCTACCCTCTTAGTACTTTCCCACCCACCAACCCCTTCTCTGCTCTTTGGCTGTAAATCCTCAGCTGTCTCTGCTGTACTCAGAATTGACAACAGTTTTTCTCTCAACTGCAATAGTCATGACCCCTGTTGCAGCAGCCTTGAATCAAGTTTTTCTTATAATTTTAACAGGTATCAGAATAATGTTTCTTTAAGGGTATGTTGCATACATTACCTTCTTTTGTACTCTGTCAGGCTAGGATCTTGTTCCCCACCCTATTTCACAGAGAAAGGACAAGGGGAGCTGGGACTCCAGCCCAGTCTTCCTGGTGGCAGAGCTTGAGTCCTCAGGAAGCCCATCCCTTAGGAGTGTTTCTGGACTCCTCTGGTGCTTGCCCCACTTTTGTCTGAGTTTCCCCTGGACCCCTGTTTTCTGGGCAGATGGGGTTTTGGTGTCCAGAGAACTCAATCTGTTTCAGAAATTGTGTCTTATAAAGAGTGTTTAAGTGCTGTGTTAGTAAGGAGAAGGAACTAAATATTTGCGCGCCAGCTCACGCCAGGTAAAGCGTAAAGTATTTTATGTACAGACCATTTTATGGCAGACCTTGGCCATATCACAGATTGAATTCCAGACTGTTGCAATAAAGCAAATAGTGCAATAAAACAAGTCATGTGAGTTTTTGTTTTATCAGAGCATAGAAGGTTATATTTATACTATGCTGTACTCTATTAAATGTTCAGTAGTGTTATATCTTAAAAAAAAAGTGCATACCTTAACTTAAAAATACTGCTAAAAAATGCTGACCATCATCTAAGCATTCAGGGAGCCTTAGTAACTTCAAAGATCATGATCTCAGATCATCACAACAAATATAATAATAATGAAAAATTTGAAGTATTATGAGAATTACCAAAATGTGATACAGAGATATGGAGTGAGCAAATGCTGTTGGAAAAAATGGTGCTGATGCACTTATTCCCTGCAGGATTGCCGCCTACCTTCAATTTCTAAAAAATACAATACTTGTGAAGCTCAATAAAATGAGGTGTGCCTATACCTGCCTCAGGCAAGTCTGGCAGAGTCTCTGTGAGGAGTGTGATGATGTTTCCATGGAGACACACAGTAGACACAGAGATGCCCAGAGAAGTGAACAGCCTCTAGAATAGCCTGTGGGAGCATCTGCACCACTCACCTAGAAGATCTAGCCCTGGGCACACACCATGTGTGAGTGGGTACACAGTGAGCACACTTGGGCCCGGCTGGGGGCTGTGGGGCGGTCTGGTCTGAGGACAGCTTCACATGGTCCTTATGCTGCGGTGTCCTTGCAGACGCGGATTGTGGAGCTGGAAGGCAGGGTCCGCAGGGCGGCTGCGGAGCGAGGGGCCGTGGAGATGAAGAAGAATGAGTTCCAGGGGGAGCTGGAAAAGCAGCGAGAGCAGCTAGACAAAATCCAGTCCAGCCACAACTTTCAGATGGAGAGCGTCAACAAGTTGTACCAGGACGAAAAGGCAAGACCCGCTTGATTTTCCTCTCAATTCTGTTCTGAATGCCATTTATACCCTGTTGAATTCTCCTCAATGGGAGGATAAGCAGCTGTGTGTTTATGTGAATTCTTGTTTAGTCACTCAGTCGTGTCCAACTCTTGGCAACCCCATGGACTGTAGTCCACCAGACTCCTCTGTGCATGAAATTTCCCAGGGAAGAATACTGGAGTGAGTTGCCATTTCCTTCTCCTGGGAGTCTTCCTGACCCAGGGATGGAACCCAGGTCTCCTGCATTGGCAGGCGGGTTCTTTACCACTGAGTCACCAGGGAAGCCCTCGGAAGGAGTGGATTCTGCTGACTGGGGCGGGGAGGGGTCATCAATAAGAAGTGAAGTTAAGTAGAGTGTTCAAGGATGAGCTGGAATTGGAAACACAGAACAGACGGGAAGGGCAAAGAAACCGCATGTGCAAAACTGCACGTGAAAGAACATGGCTGTTCAGATGTGGAATGAGCCTCTTGCTCAAGCTTTGGGCGTCTCCCCATCTTGCTGGTAGTCCCTGGGTGAGCTTGTTGGAAAATCTTTTGAAGTGGTGATAAAAGGGAGAAATGCCAAAGAACTGTCTAAGCATCAGGTTCATCCTCCTGTTAACCTTGTTTTCTTACTTTCTGCAAATTTGTGTTAAGTACCTCTGTGCCAGCTGTGAGCTGGATGCTTGTATCTCAAAAGGAACAGCGTTGTGCCCATGATTATCCCACAGGGAGAGGAGATGCAGACCTCCTACTAAATACGCACGAAGAAAGTAGGGGACCCGAAAATGCTGGGTTTTATGTTTAAAAAATACTAGACCCTGCACAGATTTTAGAAGGGACTTCCTGCTAATGAGAGCAGCTTTATGTGTCTTGCTTTTTCTGGCTTGCTTGGGACTGTGTGACTCCTGTTTGTTACACTGTGTAATGGTATGAGTTACTAATATCTTCTTTTCTAAAGTGCATCAGACTCATGACCATTTATTTCTTTGAAGACCTGGCTACTAGTTTGTACTAAAATCAAGTCCATTTTCAAGATAACGCATCTCAAGATATGACTGCCTTCCAGTAAATCAGGCATTTCACAGAGAGAGGCACGTGGTTTAGCATGAGCCAAATCTTTTTAAAGTCCTACTAGTTACCAGATAATGAATCATTTCTAAACAGGGCCTCAGACTTTTTCTATGTGACTGGTTTGAAGGGTGAGAAATACTTTTTTTTAAAAAAAAATCTGAAGAGTACGTTCTCATAGTCACAAATGTCTGTTTCTTCTCTGAATTGTTCCAGTTTTAATGCTGTTGTAGGAAGGTGCTGCCTCATTTTTCTTATATGTGGGTGATGCTATGTGTGCTCCTGAAATCCTCTTCAACTGTGTAGAATAGGACCTTGCTATTTCTCACATGCTTAACTTCTTGAAGTACATTTTGGGAGGAAATAGGGTTTATTCTTAAGGGATGAAGTTGGCAGAAACTCCATGTGGGATTTTCAGGGTGCGTGGAGTGGTCTCTGACACCCACCCTCTGCTGGGTTAGGAAGGAGGCGTGTTGATGGGCCCTGGGGAGTGTTGTACTGAGAAAGGGGACCTGGCAGAGACCAGAGTTCTGCCCCATCAGGTCTGGACTGCACCGGGCAAGGTGGGAAGGACCGTGCTGGTTTAGTGGTTTGTCAGTGCCAGACTAAACCAGCCTGAGCAAGGCTTCCCTTCTACAGGGAGGGAGGAAAAAGAATGTTTTGTGTGTCTTTCTGCCTGCCTCTCCACCCCTGTGTGTATCTGTCGTTACCTGAAAATCTGACTTTTTTTCCCTTAGGAAGAATTACCTTTTACTCTGAGCCTCCGGCCTTTCTATATTTTGTTTTTAATTTTTTTTTTTCTTTTTGAACATTCTTTGGCATTGCCCTTCTTTGGGATTGGAACGAAAACTGACCTTTTCCAGTCCTGTGGCCACTGCTGAGTCTTCCAAATTTGCTGGCATATTGAGCGCAGCACTTTCACACAGCGTCATCTTTTAGGATTTTAAAAACAGCTGGAATTCTGTCACCTCCACTAGCTTTACTGATAGCAGTGCTTCCTAAGGTCCACACTCCAGTATGTCTAGCTGTAGGTGAGTGACCACATCATCGTGGTTATCTGGGTCATTAAGACATTTTTTTGTATAGTTCTTCTGTGTATTCTTGCCATTTCTTCTTACTCTCTTCTGCTTTTGTTAGGTCCTTACTCTTTCTGTCTTTTATTGTGCACATCCTTGTATGAAATGTTTCCTTGATATCACTGGTTTTTTTTGAAGAAATCGCTGGTCTTTCCATTCTTTTGTTTTCCTCTACCCATTGTTCATTTAAGAAGGCCTTCTTATCTCTCCTTGCTGTTCTCTGGACCTCTGTATTCAGTTGGGTATTTGCCTTTCTCCCTCGCTTTTCACTTGTCTTCTTTCTTCAGCCACTTGTAAGGCCTCCTCAGACAACCCCTTTGTCTTCTTGCTTTTCTTTTCCTTTGGGATGGTTTTGGTCACCACCTCCTGTTCAATGTTAACAAACTTCCGTCCATAGTTCCTCAAGCACTCTGTCTACCAGATCTAATACCTTGGATCAACTTGTCACTTACATTGTATAATTATAAAGAATTTGCTTTAGGTCATACCTGAATGGTCTAGTGGCTTTCCCTTTTTGTTCAATTTAAGTCTCAATTTTGCAATAAGGAGCTCATGGCCTGAGCCACAGTCAGCTCCAGGTCTTGTTTCTGTTTACTTTATAGTTTACTGTTTACAGTTACTTTCTGTTTACTTTATAGTTCTATTTACTTCTCCATCTTTGGCTGCAAAGAATATAATCAATATATTCAATATTCAATATATAATCAATCTGATTTTGGTGATATCCACGTGTAGTGTCATCTTTTGTTGTTGAAAGAGTATGTTTGCTGTGACCAGTATGTTCTCTTGGCAAAACTGTCAGTCTTTGCCCTGCTTCATTTTGTATTCCATGCCAAACTTGCTTGTTACTCCAGGTATCTCTTCTACTTTTGCATTCCAATCTCCTGTGATGAAAGGAACATCTTTTTTTGGTGTTAGTTCCAAGAGGTCTTGTTAGGTCTTCATGGAACCAGTCAACTTCAGCTTCTTTTGTGTTAATGGTTGGGGCATAGATTTGGATTACTGTGATGTTGAATGGTTTGCCTTGGAAATGAACTGAGGTCATTTTGTCATTTTTGAGATTGCACTCAAGTACTGCATTTCAGACTCTTATTGATTATGAGGGCTACTCCATTTCTTCTAAGGATTTCTTACCCACACTAATAGATACAATGGTCAATTGAATTAAATTTGCCTATTTCCACCCATTTTAGTTCACTGATCCCAAGATATCAGTGTTCATTCTTGCTGTCTCTTGCTTGACCATGTCCAATTTACCTTGTTTCATGGACCTAATGTTCCAGGTTCCTACGAAATATTGTTCTTTACAGCTTCAGTCTTCACTTTCACCACCAGACACATCCACAACTGAACATTGTTTCCACTTTGGCCCAGCCACTTCATTCTATCTGGAGCTGTTAGTAGTCGCTCTCTGCTCTGCCCCAGTAGCATACTGGACACCTTCTGACCTGGGGGGCTCATCTTCCAGTGTCGTATCTTTTTGCCTTCTCATACTATTCATGGAGTTCTTGAAGCAGGAATACTGGAGTGGTTTGCCATTCCCTCCTCCAGTGGACCACGTTTTGTCAGAGCTCTCCACTGTAACCTGCTCATCTTGGTGGCCCTGCGTGGCATGGCTCATGGCTCCGTTGAGTTATACAGGCCCCTTCAGTGTGACATGGCTGTGATCCATGAAGGGGCTATTGGTATATAGGTCTAGTTTATCTGTTATTACCACTGTGCCCTATGTCTTTGTATAAATGTACCGCAGTTTACCCACCCTCTGCCCTGGGTTCATCAGCTGTTTCTAGTGTTGGCTGTTGCAGAGAACTAGCTGCTTCTGCAGGGCTCCCTTGACACGGGTGAGTTTCTCTAAGCTTGCAGTACATTTCTGACTACAGTTTGGGGACCCATTAATGAGCTGGGAGTAATAATTTACTGGTTATGATCCACATTAACAATTTTAAAATATTAGAGTATATTATATTGTTTTATATTCTGTGGTGAAATCATTGTGTCAGTGTATGTATTAAAGGTAATACGTATGTGAATGTTTGCACTGTATAAAATTTGTCATTGTGGGTTATGGTCAAAAGAGTTTTAGAGGTAAACTTAAAAGCTGAATTGCCGGATGGTGTTATTACGTTTCTATTATCTGTTTCCACCTTGCTCACCAATGTGGTCCTGTTACTTTTTCTTTTTGCGCTTTGCTGGCTTCTTCCATTTTCATGAGCCATAGCCTGTTGGAAGCAGGGACAAGCCTGGGTCAGTGAAGTGTACCCAATTCCCAGGGCTGCGACTGGTCAGGTTCTCTGGCTTGGTGATTTGAACCAAATTCCACAGACTCTGATTGGTTGATGGTAAATACTTCTGATGAGACTTCAGCTGATCCTTAGAGATTGGATTGTCATTTTCATTTTCTTTCTTTTCTGCATTCCTGTTGCGTGAATGGTGGTTTAGTTGCTAAGTCGTGTCTGACTCTTCCAACCCCATGGACTGTAGCCTGCCAGGCTCCTCTGTTCATGGGATTCTCTAGGCAAGAATACTGGAGTGGGCTGCCATTTCAGGTGTGGTTAATTCAGTTTGATTGCATAAAGGCAGTTACACAGTGTTACTAGTAGGGATATTCAGCTTTGTTTTAAAACAAGAAATGATTGTATACATCAGCCTTCAGTAACTTTCAAAGAAGTTGTCTTTTTCTTAATAATCAAATATTTTTATTATAGACAATTAGGTTTCCCTGGTGGCTCAGCAATGAAGAACCTGCCTACAGTGCAGGAGACCAGGGTTCAATCCCTGGCTTGGGAATCATGAAAATATAAAAATATTTTAAAAGATAATTATGAAAATATAAAAATCACCTGTAATTCC